AAGAAGTATCAATTCCTGCAATTCGATATCAAGGAGTTCTACCCCTCTATCTCTGAAAGTCTGCTAGATAAGGCTATAGCTTTAGCTCAAGAATTTGTAAATTTAAATGAAGAGAATTATAGCCTACTGTTAGAAATCCCTGCTCTTCAATAAAAATGGGATATTGATAAAAAAGATATGGATTTTGACATGGGAATTGGTAGCTATGAAGGCACAGAGGTGTCTGAATTAGTAGAATTTTTTCTGTTATGAAAGCTATCATATCTCTATCTATAAAAGGCAGGATGTGTGTGTGTGTGTGTGTGTGTGTGTGTGTGTAACGAATGCATGGCCACAATTTTCAACAGATTTGCACCAAAATTTACATGCACATGCTCCAAGTTAGCGAGAAGGCCAAGACCGACTTTGCATTTCCCAACCCCCATCGATAGTGGAAATAATTGATTTTTTCATGCTTCTACGGCACTTTTCATGTAGTTTGCAGCCATTTTCTACTAGCTAGAGTGAGAGCCTATAGCTGGCTGCCACGAATAGGCAGGAAGATTCTATTGGCCAGCGTGAGAGCCAACAGCTGACTGACATGAATGTTATTTAGCATGCAAAAAAAATCAATAGCTGCATTCATCACAAGTGGGAAAAATTTAAATCTGCATGGCACTTTACTCCAATTGGCTCATTCGCTTGATTCTGATTCTGCAGAACTGGGTTGGGTCTGAAAAAGTATTTGTTGTTAACATTCTTTTTTCATTCGGTTTTTCCAGTTACGAGTCCTTTTTTAAAGCTGATCATTTTGTGTTCATTTTGTTTAGTTCTTTTGTAACAGATTTAATGTTTAGTATAGAGATTAGAAAAAATACACAGTGTGAGATAGGCAAGAAGTAAGGCATGTAGCAACATTAGCACGGCAAAGAGCACTCCTTTAAAGGCAAGGAAGGGCAAAAATATTTTAAGTCAAGTGATAGCAATTGCTGTATGTCGTACGATTTTTGAATCAAGTCCGGGCAATACCGGGTCATGCTGCTAGTAACTACAATAAGGAAACTTTAGGCTTCTACAGAGATGACAAGATTATGATAATAAAAAGTGGTAAAGTTAACAATAATCACTGTAAAGATTTAGAATCATTTTTCAAACAATATGGACTTGAAAATAGAAATATAATCTGATAGAGGTGAACTACTTGTATTTGAGTTTAAACCTATTTACAGGAGAATATAAATCATATAGAAAACTAGGAAACATGCCACTATACATAAGCACTGATTGCAACCATCCTGCGATTCAAAATGTGCTTGGCCAAAGAGTACCAGACGAGAAGGATACAACTCTATTTTATTTTCAAACTAATACAAAGACCTCTTTGGTTCACTTACTGATTCTTTTACTTATAAAAATCCAGTATAATTATAAGAATAATTTTCACTTCTATCATAACAGAACTGTGCCATTGGTGGCACCTATCCTATTGATATTTACTAAGCTTAGCTTGCTATTGTACAAAGCTATAAGGTTGAGTTATAAATGATTTCCAATTTCTTTATCAGCTTTATTCTTCAAAAAGTAAAATACAACTGTAAACATACAATATAGTCCTCACCCAGCTTTCCACTGACCAGCCAATGACTACCTCACACTGCATCTCCATTCTTGTTCACATCAATGTGCACCAAAAACTGGGAAAGGTCCTCTGCACATTCACAAGGATACAAAAGATGTAAACAAATGCCATATTGAGAAATGAAAACTCAAACCCTGTTTCCAATATATTAAGGTGTTTTATTCAGGGCTTCACTTGTTTGGTCTGGGTGGGTAGGTAGACACTGAGTCAATTTCTGTCATGTCAGTCTAACAGCTCAGCTCTTCCCTTTGACTCTTTACCCTTCAACTCTGCCCATCTCATCATCACAAGGCATGGCTAGCAATACGAATTGTCACTTAGAAGACCTGACTTCAAAGACTTTATCAGCTGGCTACAAAATGCAAAACACTTTAAATTGAGATAAAATCTCACACCTACGTGGGTATCACAGTCATAGTGTATTATCATCTGATTCATTTTTTTTCTCAAGCAGATCTTGTACAGTAATTTAAAAATCAAGAGTAGGTTATAACAATTGATTGATATTGATTGATTTAATTTTTATGGCTTATCAACCCTTTGCAGGTTATATAAAGACAGGAAGTATTTTTAGATTGTAAGAGTTTTTTTTGGATAATAATGATTTAGTGATACAAGTCCTGCTAATTAATCCATGGCTGGGTGAAGAAGAAATTCATACCTTTTCCAAGGGTATTTTTGCACATAAATGAACATAATAAACTTGACTGGAATTAGAACTCAGCTCTCCGATTTACATATCCATTACACCAACCACACATCCAAGCTTACAGCACTTGGTATTCCCTTCTGGATACTGACCAAACTCAAAGTTGCTTAACTGGTGATCATATGAGAACTGATGTTTCAAAGTGCTATAGCCATAAGATTCAGCTTATAATTTTTTTGTTTTATCACCTCTACATAAACAAGACCTTTCTCAAAATTCTGTCTCAAACAGTGTAGTTATCAGATTCATCTCATTTCGAATCTGAGTCCCAAATTTACCCAGCCATTTTTGGATTTTGTCTGCTCATTCCAAGGGCTCCCCACCACAACAGGAACAATTTCAACTAGGTTGACTCATCTATTTTTTATATATTCACCATTGTTGTCAGGCAGCTCTTCGATACCTTTTGAACAAAATTCAGCAGGTTTTGATGCGAAAATTTTTCAATGAACTCTTGAATTTCATCTTTAACATGAGAAGGTTTTCCCAACAATCACAAAAGGTTTTAATTGGTTGGTGCAAGGTCTGGTGAATGTGGTGGGAGGAGTAGAAAAGACTGAGTTCCTGCGTTACTCTTGCTGTATGCAGCCTAGCGTTGTCATAGAGGTGGACAACATTTTTCCTTTAATCTACTGGTGTGTAAATGTATTCCAAATTTATTTTTAATTACTATGTATGATTAATAGTTAGGGGTGATAGACTCGTCATTAAAATTGGTCCCCCCAAATGGCAATAACTTTCAACTCAATGTAATTATTTACCTCCCACACATACACACACACAAGTGTTCTATCATGTTTCAACTCTTCATACTTTCCTACCTTCTCCCTTTCTTTCTCTATTACCCTTACATCCCTTTGTTTGTTTGTTTTTTTTTTTTGTTTAATGGCATATCAACTCCTTATGGGTCATTTAATGCTGATGGATTTCTTGGTATCATCATCATCAACAGTAGTAGTAGTAGTTGTAGTAACAACACCACCACCACCAAATAGATTAGGAAATAAGGAGAAGGTGAAAGATATCAAGAGAAATCCAAAGACTGAAAGAGAAAAAAGAACAAATGACTATGGGTCTTGACATTTTTTCACCTTTCTACATAAGCAAACCCTTTCTCAGAATTCTGACTGTCCCAAGCAGTGAGGTTTTTTGAAGCATCTCACTTCAAATCCCAGTTCCAAATTTACCCAATCGTTTTTAGATTTTGTCTATCAGTTACAAGTTTCCACTTTATTCTTCAAAAAGTAAAGTACAATTTCATTTTATTCAATTATATATTTACCCTACTATGACTTGTTGCTACTTGACAAGCAGCTCTGCAATACCTTTAGAGTAAAATTCCATAGGTTTTGTTGTGGAAAAATTTTCAACAAACTCTTGAATCCAGTTTTCATTAGAGAAAGGTTTCTCCCATCGAAACATTTTGCAGTGATCAAAAAATGTTGGTGAAACGTCAGGTAAAAACAGTATTTAGAAGAGAACAACTGCATTCCAAAATTTTTCCCCAAGTTATTCTCACTGCATGTAGCCTTGTGTTGCCATGGAGAACAACAACAGTTTTCTTATGGACGAACACATGGCGGTTTTTGACCAAATTTTTATGGACACTTTACAGCATTTGGATATATAAATGTGCATTTAGTGTTTCATTGTATTTTAAAAATTCTAAACAAATAATACTCCAATGATCACATGGCATGCATACACATTAAATTTCTTTTATAGAGCTCAGCTTTTGGGGTCAGTTGTGAAGATACCTTTTGCATTGAATATCGTTGTATGTTAGTAATGAATAGCAGCCCAGATTGAAGAATCAGAAAGCAGAGTTTGAATTCCAGTCAAGTTCATTACATTCACTTACATACTAAAGCCTTTACGAAAGATATACATCCATCTTTTCTTCCACAAGCTATAGGTAAATAGCAGGACAGGCCCTATAGTCTTAGCAGTGAGTTGATGAGAAGGAAAACTCTTAATTGAAATCAGCCTGGAGAAGGTTGGGCTCCGTCAGGTTATCTTGCCCAAGACACACTACTACTAAGGCTACAATACATGTGGTACCCCTATGAACCTAATGGATTATGGCATTTGTGATCATTAATATTAGTGTACTCCTGATTTATTATTAATTGCTATGTATGATTAGTAATTAGAATTTGTTACTACAATTGGTTCCCTAAAATGGAAATTACTTTTGACTCAATCAAATATAAATAAGATAATAGAGGACTGGTTTAGTATTAATAAACATGTCTGAGATTAGCTTGCTAACTCTTACACCATGGTGAAAAACTATGATATCAATCTCTTGAAAGTAAATAAATTTCAAATCATAAAAAATAATTTTAAAATCTCTAATCCTTTTGATTCCCTTTAATATTTGTAGAATGATTGATTGATCGATTCAGTTATTTTTTTACAGCTTATCAACCCTTTGCAGGTTATTTAAAGCCAGAAAATATTTTTATATTGTAAGAATTTTTTCTAGAAATAATAATGGTTTACTGATACAAGTCTTAGTAACCCAAAGCTGGGGGAGGGGAATAGGTGGAGATTCATACCTTTCCCAAGGCTATTTGCACGTAAGTGAATATAATAAACCCAACTGGAATTGGAACTTGACTCTCCGATTAACAATTCCAAGCTGTTATTACACCACCCACACATCCAACCTTACAACACCTGGTATTCCGTCTAGTCACCCATCTAAGTACTAACCAGGCACAACATTGCTTAACTTCAGTGATTTTACAGGAACTGATGTTTCAACATGACATGGCAATAAGCTTCATTTATAGAATGGGTTAACTTCAAACTTAAAGTGACATTGTGTAATTATTTTAATTTCTTTCATATGTTATCTCTACTTCACTGTTATGATTTCCTTTTCTAGTAGAAGCAAAAGGAACGGTGTCTTTGTTCACTAATTTGACTATGTTGTTCTTTCTAATACTTGCATCAGCCATAATGGACTAAGCTGTTTCAATAAAGTCTGCAGTACATTAAATGTGCTAATAATTAAAAGTCAGGGGGAAACAATATGATTGTGCTGAGTGTTCTAAATAAGGCTAAAATAACAAACAATTGTTAAAATTATTTTTTTCAGTATGACTCATTTATAATTGTCTGAAAGAAGCTTTCAGTTTTTTTGTTTAAAGCTGGTGGAAAAGTTTTAAAAAAATAACCAATCTAATGATATGAAATGACTTTTCTAGTTCTTTGTATTATACATATTGAATTCCTACATAAGGCAGTAAAAGAAAGTGAGAAGAAAGGACTAAACATCAATTACAAGATGATAGAATGCATAATTGTCATCTAAAGGAACAGCCCAACATGCACATTAAAAATTAGAGATACTAAAATCAAACAATTTCAACACTTTAAATATCTGGAAAGTGTTTTAACAGAAGGTGAGCAGCCATAGTGAAAGATGCTTTCCAAAAGTTAAGCAAAGAATTAAGAAACACAAAATTTTTGTTAGAAACAAAGAAAAGAGTACTGAACTTTTATGTAATATCAATCCTCCTACATGGCAGTGAATGCTGGACAATCTCCTCACAGATGTAGAAGACAGCTGAAGTAACAGAAATGACATTGGTGATCATATCTCTTTCCAATGGTTTGAATTTACTCTGAATAACTGATTATAATTAAAGTCAATGTCAGGTACCAGACCATAAATAAGTTTAAATTTTAACAAAATCATTCTCTGGGTATTTCATTTTCAATGACATGCTTATTAAACATCAAATAATTTATATGTGCAAATGATAAGGGCTGAATCTATGAGCAAATTATAAATCCTGAATACAACTGTCTACACTACATGCCAACCTTTCGAAAAACTCGTAACGTTTGATTATTTTCAAGGTGGGTGCATAATTACTATGTACCCATTGTAGATGCTTTCAGTGATGGATATTGGTTGACAGATCTCTGGCTGTGGATTCTTATACACAACAAGGATCATATATATCTCAACAGTGTTTTACAGTAGATAAATATGAACAAATGCCTGAGGTGAGGTGAAAAATCTTTTGCTTGCAAAGAGGGGTAAGATGTCATTTGTGCTTGGAAGAGAAAATAAAAATAGTTGCATTGCCAAATTGGAGCAGATCATTGAATAAAAGGTTTAAAATAGATTCTAAATGTAAGAAAGAAAAATTTCTATTGTGCCATTTGCTCTCTGTTTGATGAATGGTATTTACATTTTGTTTCTTAATTTCATTGTCTGATTGTCATTTCTCAGTGTGAAAGTTTTAGCAGCAGGCTGAAGTTATTTGTGGTTTTTATCTAGTTTTACAACTGCTCTATCAACTTATTAATACTGAGGGTTCTTTTCTTAAAATGATTATATATATATATATATATATATATATATATATAATATATATATATATATATATATATATATATATATATAGGTGAAATAGTGCACAATGAGTGCCAGTGATAATAAAACAGGGTTTAATGTAAAATAAGAAAGCTAAAATTTATACTAATAATAAATACAAATTCCTTCCACACCATCTGCATGTGGCAATCATCAGACACAGATTGAGTTTTCAATTTGCATCTCGATGACTGCCATGTGCATGAAACTCCATGGTCTGCCATGTGCATGAGCTGTGCCAAATGGTGAAAAAGAAATATCTATTTATCATTAGTATCTTTCTCTGCCTGTCTAATTGTCTGCCTCTCTCTCTGTTTCTGTATATATATATATATATATATATATATATATATATATATAAGGTTATGACATTTTGTAAAATAATTGATATTCTGTATCATAATTCAGTTAACCTTTGTTCAAAAATAATGAAGACGAATTTATTTTTTTTTAAATATTGCCCCAGCATGAAATTTCTAGAATCATATATAAGTATAGCAGTATTATGACTTTCTGGAAATTTCTAGAACTTGTTTTTGTCTATATGTAAGTTTGTATGTTATGCTATAGCTATAAACTTTTAAATGCATTAAATACATAAATACTATCCAATTACATCCTTAGCAAATTCAAAAATAAAGCTGACTACATAGGGTCGACCAATCAGCACCACAAAATGCATATTGCACAACATGTGCCTGGCAATATCAGACAGGGTATTAGTACCCCTAATGCACATCTGGTGCAGATGGAACAGAATCCCATGATAGGTCAACACCTCTTAGATAAACCAGATTGAGCATATAAGATTCATGGTTTTATATTTTGGGCAAAGCATGGTTGGCAAAGTCTATGCACCTCTTAGAGGCAGTATATATTAAATTGCACCAACTGTTTTTGTGCCAACAGAAAGAAAAATTTATTCGATCTCTTTCTTTACTGAGTGGCATGTGAGCTTATATTTGCCTTTTTAAACTCACTTGAAATGTTCTTTCTGTTTTTGGCCATTTTTCCCCACTTTTTGTCCCACCCCCCATTTGTCTATTATCCTGTGATTCTTGTTAACATTATACTAGTTGCCAAGGATTCTTCTGAGGAGGTGTTGGCTGAAAAAAAAGCTACTTTTAGAGGGAAAAATATATGCTTTTGTCTGTTTAAAACTATATATATATATATATATATATATTGTGGACTCTCCCGTCATATTCGACGTATGAGGGTCAAGCAGTTCAGTCCCTACAAACCAACAGCCAGACATATAATTTGATTATAGTGGTGAAGGCTTTGTGCAGAACTATTCACACTTTTTGAAGGGCCGAATACAGATAGCTGGTGCACTATGTGCCACAAGGTCCCCAAACGACCCTCCACAGATTTTGAATTCAGAGTTATCCTTCTCCTAGACCAGTTGCCATCCAAGGTTATTTACCCATAGCTGGCAAGAGAAGAGGAGGGTTAATATCTTTCCCAAGTGTGTTAACACGTAAGTGAATGCAATGGATTCAACTGGAATTCAAACTTGGCCCTCCTCAATCCAAGCCACTATCCACTACTCCACCATGCCTATATATATATATATATATATATATATATATATATATATATATATATATATATATGTGTGTGTGTGTGTGTGTGTGTGTGTGTGTGTACTAATAATTAAATACATAATATAAAAACTTATACACTTTTGCACATATAAAATTTTTCTTGAATCATTTTTTTCAAAAACTTAGTTTGTCAAGTCCACTGTTAGACATCTTTCTAGTATTGATGGGAGTTAGGTTCCAAACCCTTTGTTTTCAATAGTATGGAATTTAACATCTTGATTATCATTCACTGTTCTAGTTACATATGCTATCTATTTTTATTGTTACTGCTGTTGGAAATCTTCAGGTGATATGGTTTTTGTCATCTGGTATAGCAGTTTCTTTATGATTTTGTAGTGCCAGTCTATAGGGTTTAATGAAGGATGACCATCTTTAAGATTTAAAAGATTCATTCATTTGAAGCCAGTTTTAATCACTGACCTGAGAAAGTAGTTGTATACATAGTTTAGATATTTCTGAGCAAGTTGAATTTCATATATGACATCCATATAAAAGTTTAGATCTGACAAGGCTATTTAAGAATATGACTCAAGCTCTTAGGTTAATGTTTTAGTTTTGTAGTACCTTATGTTGTTGGACCAAAATACCACTAGTGCAACCTATTCTGTTTAACTTCCTTATCACCTGTACTAAATTTTTCACAAGTGATCCATACACCAGGGGAGTTGAAGTGTTTAGAATCTCAGTTCATATATTATTTATACATTTTATATGAAAATTAATAGAAATATATTTACTCTTTGTAGCAAATATCACTGAATAGAAGGAGAGAAACAGATTTAATGAATTCTATATGACATAGTAATTAAACTTTAAATATTTTAAAACAAGCACAAAAGTAGATTTCTGTATGTCGTGATATTTATTCTGTAACATACAGAATTGTGGCAGATTTCTGTATGTCTTTACACATTTATAACAGGCTGATGGCATCTTTTTAAAAATAACTATATAAAAAAATACATTAAAAAATAATTAACAATTTTTCACTGATGCTGTCAGATATTCAGATAGTGAAAATGAAATATCTCAATATCAAAGCATAATATATATATATTATATATATGGTTGGTGCAAAACAGTTCAGTGTTTTTGTGAAAATCTTTTACTCACATAGATTCATAGCATTATATATATCTGACAAAGCTTTAAAAAGGGTGAAATATGTTAGATTGATGTATGTTCCCTATTTGTTCTTTTATTTTATCATCCTGTTGGATTCTGATCGATATTTGATCTACATCTGATCTTTAATTCATATATATATATATATATATATATATATATATATATATATATATAGTTAAACCTAGAAAGCCAGACAAACCTACCAGGCTGCCTTCCCTGACGATCCGCTAGGTGAAACCTTGTTAGGTTTGTCTGACTCTCTAGGTTTAACTAGGTCTGCTCTACTTACTGTATCGAGTACTTTATTTAGTTGTTTTGCGTACTCATATCGGTTTTATTTTCTTTGGGCCTTGGACTTGCATGCTAGACGATTATTTTCGGCTAACATAAATGTTCTTGGTTCTTTTTTTTTTTATACCTTTTTTTTCCCTTTTTTTTCCGTTTGATTATTTGCAAATCAAAACACTGAAGGTTTTCTGAATGAGTATAATTTCTTATACTCATAAAATTACTACTAATAATATATATATATATATATATATATATAGTGCGATTGATAAATTTTCATTTACATTAAGCAAAAATGAAAATAACACTGACATCTCATGTTAATATATACTTACCAACATTACACAAAAATATCTT